TTAGCCTGACGAAGGACCCGATCATATGCAGTTGCGAGTGCCGCATTGTGGGTACCGCTTTCGGTGGAGCTCCCTGTGGGGCCACGAAACGTGCGAGGGGTGCGCCGAAATCAGTGGCGCGGACGCATGTGGACACCGCCACTGGAGGCTTCAGTGGAGCTCCATATGGGGGGCAACGAAGCGCTGTCCTGGGCGGTGGTGACGCACGCGGCCTGTGCCATTAGAGCCTTCGGTGGAAATCTCTGTGCGGCCACGAAACGCTGTCCAGGTGGCGGTGACGCATGCGGCCTGTGCCACTGGAGCCTTCGGTGGAGTTCCCTATGGGGCCACGCAACGCTGTCCTGAGTGGCGTTGACGCATGCGGCCTGTGCCACTGGAGCCTTCGGTGGAGCTCCCTATGGGGCCACAAAACGTTGTCCTTGGTGGCGGTGACGCATACGGCCTGTGCCACTGGAGCCGTCGGTGGAGCTCCCTATGGGGTCACGAAACGCTGTCCTGGGTGGCGGTGACGCATGCGGCCTGTCCCACTGGAGCCTTCGGCGGATCCCCCTATGGCGCCACGACACGATGTCCTGGGTGGCGGTGACGCATGCGGCCTGTGCCACTGGAGCCTTCGGTGGAGCTCCCTATGGGACCACGACCGGCTGTCCTGGGTGCGGTGATGCATGCGGCCTGTGCCATTGGAGGTTTCAGTGGAGCTCGCTATGAGGTCACGAAACGCTGTCCTGGGTGGCGGTGACATGCGGCCTGTGCCACTGGAGCCTTCGGTGGAGCTCCCTATGGGGCCACGAAACGCTGTCCTGAGTGGCGGTGACGCATGCGGCCTGTGCCACTGGAGCCTTCGGTGGAGCCCCCTATGGGGCCACGAAACGCTATCCTGGGTGGGTGAAACGCAGGGAGGTGACGAGGCGGATGGGAGGAGGGAGGAGTGGGAGGAGGAGGAGAGGAGAGGAGAGGAACGCGGGGCGCTGTCTTTTCAAAACGAGGACCCAACACCACAGGATGGCTGGGAAAAAATTGCGAGAGCTTCACGGATTGAGGGTGGTTCCGTTTCAAAATGTGGTTCTCGCCTTAGCGCTGCGCATATTCGTTTTAAAAGTTGCAAGAGTTTCATTGGTTCCCATCATCAACGTGCCAGGAATGGTGTTTCACAGGGATTCAGGATTATGCGGGTTCAACAGTTACGTTGGTTCGTTGTGTTGAAGTCCTAGGAACGGCGTTCTGGCACGATTCAAGATCGCCAACACCCAACAGCATGCTTCAGGGTCTTCAAGCGGGCGTCTTCCAACGAGGCAGTTCCAGCAATGGAAATAAACAGTTGTAGGGGCCTATGAAGAGGGAGCTTGGAGGGAGGGTTTACTCCAACATCGTTGATGACTCTTGGGTTTGCACTGGTCCTCCTCCTCCTCCCTCGGCTGCTCCATGCTGCTGCTGCTGCTGCTGCTGCTGCTGCTGCTGCTGCTGCTGTTACTGCTTTCCCTCCTCCCCCTCGTGGATCAGTGCACAGGCCTCTACTGGTACTGGCGGGCTCTGCTATGTGTCACTGCGCATTATCTGCTGTGTGTAGAGCAGCCCGCTATTGGTTGACTGGCAGGCAAACATCAGAGGAGGAAAAGGTAACCGTATCGCTACCCTTCCCTGGTTTTCTCCTTGGGGGGGCCTCCTCGGAGGCCATCATCGCCACCGCTGGATTCGCCCCGAAATTCTGGTCAGAACGCATCCCGGGAGAAGTGAGGGGAGTGGCGGTATCGCTGCTTTCTGGTTTCCCAAAAACAAACAAAGTTCCTCTCCGTCCTCCGTTTCCAATTCTTAACGACGCCGCGGCGGAGTGTTGTTTCTTCCCCCTCCTTCACGCTGTCTACATTCGTGCGCACTCCCCACCTTCCTCCTGCACCTCGTCGTCGTCGCCATCTCCTCCTCCTCCTCCTCCTCCTCCTCCTCCTCCTCCTCCTCCTCCTCCTCCTTCCCCTCCTGCTCCTCCTCCTCCTCCTCCTCCTCCTCCTCCTCCTCCTCCTCCTCCTCCTCCTCCTCCTCCTCCTCCTGCTCCTCCCCCTCCCCCTCCGTGCCACCAGAAGTGCTGGCCCTGGCATTTCACCCGAGACCTCTTTTGCGCTACAGGGCCACGAGTCTGGCTCTCCGGGATCTTTTCCGCTCGTCTGGCTCCCGCCTCGGCGCCGCGCACGCCAGCAGCTAAGTACACCCCTGCGGCAGAAGACCCTGCACAGCTTTGCATTGTGGCGCAGAGAGGGGCACAGACGGCGACACATTGAGTGATCAAGAAGACAACGCGAGACAACGGAAGACAGTGGCGCCTGACCGATGTCGGCTCACGGCTCCTCAGTTCTCAGCTTCTTAGAGCAAGTGCAGAGGACCATTCCAGACAAGCTGTTCAGGGACATACGCGGATGGAGGGCGGATCGTTTTCAGAAGTTCCCTCTCGCGTTAGTGTTGGCCTTTCCTTACAGACGGGTGCGCCTTTGCATATGTACCCCTCGATGCCCCCATGCGCATTGATGTTGTTCATCGCCCACCTGCGCCTGCCGGTGCACTGCCACTTGGTCTCCAACCGAAACTTGTCCATGTCCGCCGCGAGCGGATCCACGTTATTGCAGTCTCGTGCAGGATGGCACCCTGCATGCGAGCAGGCTGCGGGCTGGCATCGCCGTCCCTCGTCGTGTTCGTGAGGATGCGGGGGCGCAGGTCCGCCTCGTACTCGCGGGTGGTGTTGCCCACGGCGACGTGATGGACACTTTCCTCCATATCAGATCACCAACCGTATTCATATCGTATACGAAGGGGTCGCGGCCACGGCCCATCATCCGAAACCAAAAAAATGTCGTGGATGGCATCTGGCGACGATCCCGAGGCCCGTCGACGCTTTCCTCGGGAGATCCCCCAGTGCTTGCCGTCGTTGCCCCCCAAAACTGATGCACGGGGAACGTGCGACGGCGGTCCCGTGGCACTCCGAGACTTGCCTCGAGCCCTCGGAGGCCCACCACTCGTGGGCGAAAAACATGTCCACATCCGCGGCCTCGCGGGCTGGGCCCTTGGGCCGCGACCCAGCGGATACAGGGCGTTTTTCGCGGACGCCCCGCGGAAAAGCATCCGTGGGGCCGCGTATCTGCGGGATCGCGCCCCAGAGTCCAGAACGCGAAGGCACGGACACGGACATGTTCGCCGCTCGTGAGCCACCTTTGCCGAGAGGATTTGGCGCGGACGGCTCCGATGCCCGCGGAGCCTTGTTGCTTCCCAGCTCTGGGTGCACGGGCTTCTTGAGTCTCTCTCCAGGGGGCTTACTTGGGCCGTCTTGGGGCTGTCTTGGGGATCCCTTGGGGCCCTCGTCGGTCGTCGTGGGACCCTGTTGGGCTGCCTCGGGGCCGTCTTGGGTCGTCTTGGGGCCATTTCATTTGTCTGGAGGTCTGCTGGGGTCATCATGGGCATCGTGGTACCCTTTTGGGCCGTCTTGGAGCCTGCTTAGAAGGTCTTGGGCTCCTCTTGAGGCCCTGTTGGCCCGCGTGAGGCCATCTCGGGGCCCTCTTGCGGCTCTCAGTAGGCAATTTTGAGGCGTTCGAGGACCGCATGTGGAGAGAGATTCGACCGAAGAGCGTGCAAACCGAAGCAATGAAAGCACCAGGGGTGCGAATGTTGCTGCTTCTCCAAGGCCTCGTGGAGAGCGTTTTGGGGGTGCTCGGGGGCCTCTTGGAATTATCTTGGGGTGTATTCGGCGCTTCTCAGGGCCTCTTGGGTACCTCTTGAAGCAATGTTGGGCCATCCTGGCGGCCTCGATGGCGTTCCCCGACCACGTTGGAACCTCGGGGAGCCGTGGAGAGTGTGAGAGAGGCGCCGTGCTGCCCAGGAAGCCTCGGGAGTGGCCGTCCCTCCCTCCCTCCTCCCGCCTCTCCTCCTCCTCCTCCTCCTCCTCTTCCTCCTCCTCCTCCTCCTTCTCCTCCTCATCCTCCTCCTCCCCCTCGTCCTCCTCCTCCTCCTCCTCCTCCTCCTCCTCCTCCTCCTGCGCCTCCCTTCGCAAAGAGGAAGCAGACGGCAGCCGCAGTTGCGCTGGAACCTGCCTCCCTCTCGTGACAGAGCAGCCTGGTGTTTTGCCAATTCAGGTTAGGAATGCGTGAGCATTCCTTTTGTAGTTTGTATCGTGAGCGCTGTCCCAGTTGTCATTAGCTTGCTGCCTCGCTGACAAGCGGCGCGACAGAAACCACAGCAAGGCGGGCGCGCTTGCGTAGGCGGTGCTGCTCAAGCTCCGCGAAAGAGAAGGAGGCGCAACACCGATCTGTCATCGGTCGTGTTCCTTTTCGTGCAGTTCCAGCGTGAACCCGTCAATGTTACCGTCGCATGGACCGACGATCAAAACCTGGCGATTGACAGGCTTTTGAATCGAGGAAGGGGTGAGGAGCGATGCACGCGACGGAGTTTGATGAGGAGGGTCTTCATCCGTGAGTAATCAGAGGGCGAACCGACTTGTAGGGGCCAGTCAGGTCGACGCTCCGTGTCGTGTAAGATCCTCAACGGCCGCAGGGAAATGAAGGAGTGCAGAGGGCGAGGGACCGAACGGATAGCTAGGGGAAACACGGGGTACAGAAGACACATGGACAGCAGTGATAGCACAGCCGGCAATGTGAGAACTTTCCAGGGACAGGTTGAGCACATCACGAAGTTTGTCTGCCTGCCTTGCGTGCCTGCTGCGTCCTGATGTTCGACGCTCCTCCCGGCGCCCCTGCCAGCCGTGCCTCGGTCGGTGCTCTGGGCCTTGCCCCCCCCCTCCCCCCCTCCCCTCCCCCCTCCCCCCGACAAAGCACAGTGGGCACTCAACGCGGGCATTGAAGGACAGCACGAAGCAACAGCCGAGCATGCTTTCTCTCCGATGCCTGCTGTGAACGTGCCGGTCTGCGCAGCTTCTTTCCCCGCTTGTTTCTGCAGCCCCCTGGAGACGGACACGAGCGGGGGCGGGAGACGGAGCAAGCTTCATACGAATACGACACGTTGCGCAG